TAACGAAGCATGAAGGGAAATAAGCGCGATTTGCCACGCCCTTAATAACCTGGGCATGTACACGAAGTACGCTAGTATAGCGGGAAATAAATAGCGGTAGATCATAAATTAAGATGAGCCATTGACGGAGCATTTGATAACATTAACTCGACTTCACTTAAAGCACCTTCAATTTAAGTTCACTCATTTTTTCAATTTTTTTTAGAAAACTATTCCTCATTAACGGATAATCTATTTTAAATAAAAATAAAAATGTAATTGAATTTTCTGAATGAGAGGTTCAAGTAGGTTTTCCAAAAACTTTACCTGAACTTCATGAAATTTCTTCCTGAAATTTCTACAAGGGAATATTTTTCGTACCAGCATCATAAAATTTTGAATAATACATATGTATAAAAAACATTTCCTGACGAGTTCCCGACGAAAAACCTTTGACATAAAAATAGGGGTAAGAGTTAATTGGAATGTTTAAAATATTTCCGGCAGCAATGGCTATAGGTGCGTGTAATTTCAGCAAAATTAAATGGTCATAATCCAAGGTTATTCACGATCAATACCGCAACGAAAAAATGCCTGACTTCTACTCTATGGAACATGAAGAGGTAACGCATCTATGGAATATACTACCCGACAAAAATTATGTGTATGCAGTCAAGCAGGTGCATAATCAAGTAATAGACTTGACCACGGAGATATCCGTATTGTCCATCCAATCCACTGATCAATTTCTGTCATGCATAAATTGGGAAATAATTTTTTTTCATCTTGGGAAAATAAAATACTTACGAATATTCAATTCTAATTATTCTGAAGAACACTAAAAGCCAGAAGTAATTAAACAACTGAATTTAAATAATCATGATTTAACCATTTAATTCTGCTGATAAAATAATCGAAAATATTTAAAAATATTGTGCAACACTGCATTTTGGCGTTATCAATTTTTTATAGTTAATTGAAATCTCATATTCAGAATCTTTTCAATCGAATTTCCATTTTGAGTAAGCGGTAGAAAAAAAAGGAGACATATTTGGAAGCCTGGGAAAAAGATTCACGAGAGTTAGCCTCAGGGGGTCCCCACGAGATGACAGAATACTGTGTTAAGAATTTATGGTTTTGAACTTCTGTTCGAGTTATTCAATTCCAGCTAGACAATTCAAATTTCCTTATATCTTCCTGAAGGATGAGAAGACAGTTTTAACTGCTCGTTATAAAAAACGTCAAACCACTAACAAAATGACTTTTAGGATTTACAAACTCGGTAGAGCTATATATTTGAAAAACCGATAAGAAATCATTTTTTTACAGCCGTTTCCCCCCCGAAAATGAAACCCCCATCGGAGTTAATTAATGACTTCCTTTTTGTCGGCTGTCAAACGCATTAAGCTGAAGTTGCAGTACACAGGCAAATGATGAGAAGAGCTTTTACCGCAATACTGCCTCAACAATTTCAGTGACATTAAAATAAACAAGAAATCAAAACAATACCATTGAATATTCTTTCGAAACTTTTTTGAGTAATAGTCGTAAAATTCCACTATGTTATAGACCCTTCAGAACAACCTATTGAGGTTGTGTCACACCAGTGCCGAATTTTACGATCTTGTACGTCGGTATTCAGATATACATCCATTTGGAGAAGAAGGGAAAAAGAAACCCACAAAAAGGAAAAAAAAACGAGGCTGTTAACCTGTGACAAATCGTCCCGTATCCGCTGCAGCATTATTCCTGATCATTAAGATAAAAGACACATTTTTCCTTGTACGATATGACAGGGACAATGTAATGATTATTCCACAGTTAAAATATTTCGCTACGAATTCTACAAGGAATGACACATCCCTTGACAAAACCAATCCTCCCACCAATTATTTATAACAACAAACACCGAATTTTCCTTAATTATTCCAGACACGATGTCGTCTCAACAGGAAAAAAATGTAACTACCCTGTATTTCGTTTTTTCTATCAAAAATTTGTGGAAAGCAATATAAGTAACAAAGAGTTAATTTAATAAGAGCAAATTAAATAAAATGAGGAGACCTAAGTGACTGGTAACCTACCAGAAACGTCAATTTAACTGCATATATTTAAAGTGCCTGGTGAGACTGATTTGAAATGACTAGTTAAACGAGGTTGTCGAACCCTATCGTAAACACCGAAAGATAACAAATTCTCGAGGACTTAAAATCGACAGATAAACATCTCCTCACTGGAATTATCCCACAAATATTCAATATGTATTAATTTCGACCAATGACAAAACAAGAAAATTCGATGAGATTTCGGTGATAGATAGTACTAACCTTGCGCGGTCGAGCTGCGTACACGACGTTTTCACTGTTATATTTGTGGCTGATGTAAAAAACAGCTGATCCAACAGCCAGAGCTCCTGCTCCACTTTTGATAATTCTCCCAGTATTTCCATGATTATTCCACTTCACTGTTGACAAGTCTCGCGTTATTCTTAACAATCGATATAATTTTCGAGCAAGAACACTGGTGCTCGCCATATTTGTAACACAACGACGAAACACTCGGGAATAATAGTGAAAATACAGTCTACACCAGCGGCGCGCGCGCCTTCAAGCCACACGATCGCAGAAATAAAAATAGAGCATTTATACCACTCCCGAATATATGTGAAACTTAAATAAACACAGTACTCACTTTATTAAAGAAATTCTGGGTGTCTGGGGAATTTTAACTCCGAGGTATTAATGAAAAATAATCAAACACTGCCCGACGAGTATCACCGACGACGAGCTCAGATAACTCCGACGGAGCAACTGACGGGAAAAAGTATTGCGGCGGTCGATAAGAATATATGATATATCGTTAGCGATGAGCAGAGCTCTTTTGAATATTTTTCTTATTATGTTCCTTCCTGGAGAAAATAAAAAAAAATATTTAGCTCAAGCCGTTTGCTTCTACCCATTTTCAAACTATTCACATTTTTCGTAAATATCTTTTTTTGTATCTGCAATACGGTTTTTTAAATTGAAAGGCAAAAAACGAATATCAGGATTAAATTCACTCACTCAATGTCGAAAAACTTCGGAATCATGTCAAACTAAATTGCAGAGTAATTATTCCACTTTTCCGTATACATTGGTATAAATGAAGTTTTGCAGAAATTTATCTAGCGTGTTGCGTGCGCGTGTGTCCAATATGTCATAGCAGTGATTTTAAAGTCAGATGATGACACCTAAATTGAAGACTATTCCACAGAGCTTCAACAAAAGAAAATACGTCAAAGATAAGCAACTTGTGATTTCTTGAAGTTAACGGCCTTGAGGTGATCAGTATGTCGATCCCTTGAGGAGTGTTGGCATTGAAGAATCATATATGTCAATCTAGCTGGCATAACAGCCAATTGATTATGATCTTGAAGCAAAGTGCCCCCACAATGACGACGTAATTCACCGTCCAACGAACTTCAATCGATGTTCAATCATTTTTCTATCAATTGCAAATTTCAACTGAGTACGTAATTACAGTCTACACCTCGTCTCAATTTACCCCTCATAAACCTGCGTTATCATTGGGGACCCGTTGATCGACAATGGCACAAGATAATTAGTTTCTGCATGCACCGAACAGATTGAGCAGTTTTTGCCTGTTTTATCAGTTAAAAAAAAATTTTAAATACCAAATAAAGATAAGAAGGCATCATCTAGAAAGGAATGGGCCGAAGGATAAGAGCCTAAGGCATTTAATCATCGCTTGTTTTACTGCAGTAACAGTGCAGAGACACGAAACGTCGTTTATCCTCTCAGGACCAATAATTCATATATTTATTTACAAAAAAAAGACAAAAAAAACAAAAAAGTAATCCGTTTATTGAGGGATTACATTCTTTCAACTGGAAAATTGTCACCGACTCGTGAGATGTGTGAATCTACTTGTGCGGTGTAAGAATATAATTAGCTTTGGAAAATTGTGGGAATACGATCGAAGGTGTTATCGTCCTTGCCTGGAATGTTGTGCTCTTGTAATTATCGGGTAAAGAGTATCATTTGAGAAAATAACTGATATTTTTTCCTTACTGTTGACATCTCCAAGCGACAGAGGTATTATTATTCCATCATTTCGAATATATTTTATGTGAACGCCGTTGGAAACTTCTACTCTCTTCTTCTTCAGATTGGGAGTGGAAATTTTTACGCGGAAAGTTTTTTTCGTCGTATTAATTAAACGTTCGATTTTATTATGTAGATAATAATGGAGCAATAATGAGGGAAAATGACGGTAGGAGTTTGAAAGAATAGGATTTATTTCGGAGTACGTATTTTGGTGCGCTTCAAATTTATTGGAGTTCATGGTCCAAGAACCTGAAAATATAAACAAGAACATTTTTGAATACTCCGAATGAGGTCTCACTTATCATCCATGAAATCTCCACCGAATTCCTCGTCTTCTCATCTGAATACAATGTATCCATAAATTGAACTATTCTGGAAGTCCCCTCCTTTCTGTCTCTCTCACTTATTCTGTTTTTCAAACAAAACTCCACGTTAAAAAAAATTCTAGTAAATTCTTTGCCATTTAGGCGTACATATTGGGCGGCAGAAATTTCAATGGTGAGTGGGCCACACATCTTTGGCGCCTCAAAAAACGCCTCGAATTTCCTTTGTCGTTATTGAATTTTTTTTGTTTTCTTTATTTTCTTCGTGCCTCGTGAACATGTTTCGTGGAGAGTGTCCGTCTTCTCTTATGAATGGTTTAAGTTTGAATTACGCAGACGGGCGTAACGCCGGGGCTTAGTTGACGATTATCAGTTAAGACTGGAAGAAATCACGTGATCAGGGTCATTGCCATTGAAGTAACAGCCACGATATTCCACATCGGGATTTGCGCGTCGGAAATTGCCAAATTGGTTTTCACAATCGCATTAAATTTTCGGCAGAAAAAAATTATGAAAAGGACCGGCGGAGGGATTAGGGGAAAACCGAGGGGAGACCAGATCGGGGGATTGGTTGATGATCTCTCATTTCTTCCTCTAACACCATGAAAAACTGTTGATAGGGGAATCCCAGTAATTTTTTAAGTTCGCTACTCAGAACTCACCAATTTTCCCGGGAATTTTTATTATTGCGAAATCGCTGCATTAAAAAAAAAAACAATTCTTTTTTTTAACATCATTATTAGTTACACTCCATTCCGTTTAATAAATATTTGTCCATTCAATTTTTAGACTGCAAAACCTGATTTTTTTCAGTTGCTTACAGGTCTTCGCTATCTGGAAATAATCCGATAAATTAGAAAGTCCTAGAATATTATATCTGACAATAGTTAGGCTCTTGTGCCTATTCGAAATATCAACCTTGAATATTCGAAGATGAATGAAGTGCCAAGAAATTTCTCCAATATCTAAAAAAATATTTGATTGATATTTTCTAAAATATTCTTGCTGATATAATTAATGCTCTTTAAACGAATTGAATAATAGAGAAATCACTCTGTTTTCTTTGAGGTACATTCGCGGAAAATATATTATATTACCTCTTCCAATAGACTATCAATTTTCACTCAATTTTATAGCTGACACTTGTTACGTCATAACCGGCTGATCGCTACGTTGATAAATCCAACGTTCAATTTGTACCGATGAAGACATGTATCACGAAGTCCTGGGTTTCGCCAACAGCAGGCACTTAGGATACAACAATTTACGAGGAAAGGAGATAACCGTCGAAAAACTATAAATGACGAAATGAAATATTTCCGAGGTTGCGACACGTACACCGCAATTTGGTAATCTTGAAGAAAGATTCGGAGAGAGGAACCACCGACGAGTTAAATAATTCACATGTGGCACATGAATTTCTCCAACTCCTGCAGTACAGACTCTTGATGAAAATTCAATCTTCCATTGAAAAGTCATTAATCAATTCTCAATTATGACTGAACATAAAAAATTGAATTGTCTTGAGTTTTCAGAATTTTCAATGACAGCTGAATTGAATTTTTAATTGAAAAAATTAAAACACTTTGCGACGGAAATTTAAAAAAATCATATTTTCATATTTTTCTCTTATTGGAAAATTCTAGGGGTTTTTTAGGGAAGTTTTGATGATTCTTCAATATTTTTTTGAGAGCTTTTGCTGTGGCGATAGTGAGGTTGATGGAAGCAAGAGTGGAGAGAAGGCGGTGCCGAGGCCACTCAGGTATACATACAGGAGCGTTGGAAGACGCAGCGGGATTCCTATCGTGTCTACAATCTCAGTTGATTTGAATAATTGTCAACCATCGTTAACATGAATCTAATACGTACACATAAATGATTCAACAAAAAAACCATTCGCTTGCTCAATTTTCTCCCTATCACATCGATGTCTCGATTAAATCCCAACTTTTCTCAGCGTCCATCAAATTTCGCTTGAATATGAAATTAATTATCATAACACAATCGTCGATAGTTCCATTCACCCTTGATAATCTCAGCTCGATAAAATAGCATTGACAATCCTTGCAGAAAAAACGGAAAAATTTTGTGCGTTTATCCTTCATTCTCTCATGATGTACTGTCGTGAATATTTCTTGTTCTTTTTTAAACGTATTATCTGGGATCGAATTATCTCGAGTTTCTAATAAATTGTTGACCATGTTCAGCTGTATTAAGTCTACCTAGGTTTGGAAGCCTTAGAGAATTTAATGGCGGTCATATAAATTAGATCGGGAGTACATAACGTTAATTTCAGATTGGATAAAATACATGGAATTGCCCGGGGGTTTATACGGGGATAATCGGTACACTGGTCTGCCGTTCGATACGAGATATATTGGCCTTGGTGGAATGTCAGAGGTACGGCACGCCAAGATTAATTGTTAAGCACTGTTAACTTGACCTCTAGTCAAGCTTGTTTCAGACTGAATCAATAGCGGATAAATTCCGAGATCAAGTTAAAAAAATATTTCTCCTACCTCTCCTCTATAAAATTCACAAAAAATCATTGTTTGAGATTAATAATTTTATTAATTTATATTCACGTATGGATCACCGGGGGACGGTATTTATCAGTGAATTGATCGTTAAGGAGATTCCTCAGGGTTTATAACGAGTCGGTGAGTCTCCGTACTCTCCTCATAATCGTTAACCAAGTATTACGCTGTCTTGTGATGCGCCAACTAGACCTCTTCCTTCTAAAAACAAAAAGTTTTTTTTAAAAACATTTTAAATTGCCCCATCTCCAAAGTCATATAAAACTCGAGGACATTTCTCAATGTCGCATTGAATTACCCTTTTTCCGGTGTACACCTTGCAGGTAACATTGACAATTTCACTACAGCGAATTGTTCATACGTTTTAAGCTGGAGAAAACTTATGGGATGAGACGGTTTCCTAGTTATGCGGAGAACCGGGACATGGAAGATTAAAGTTCTCCGTCGGATTTCTTCTGATACCTTGGCATCAACACTCATGAGTATATATAACATCACTTGGCGTGTCACGTGAAAAAAAAAAAAAAAAGTAGCAGCGGCCTCTTTTCACAGGCGATAGCATTTAATCTATGGTATTCCGCATGTCTACCGGCGGCATCGGGTTATTCTTTGCGCTTCCCTTTTCTTTTATTATTGCGCATTTTCTTATTCTCTTCTTTATCGAGGATAAACACTGCCATTCGACATACACCGCTTGATGAGAACCTTCTGTACGAGTGAGAAATAAACTTATGGGGCTAGATCGCCCCGGAAGGCAACGGTATTGTAGTGGATAATAAATATATTCAATGGGAAAAAACGTTGACAGAGTTTACGGAAATTTATCGGCGGTAGATTCGCATTTTATGTTGAAAAATTGAACGAGAAATTTGGTAAAATTTTGTTAAAAGCGACAGAAAAAATGTATTCTTCGTAATTTATTGGATTACATATTTTTCATTAGCTTGAACGTCAATTATATTTTATTTTTCGAAAATATTGCTTGATTCTTCAATATTTCGGTTCAATATCACAGAATATTGTGATGTTCCATCGACCTCACGAGATACGAAGAAATAACTCAAGGCAAAGGGCAGCAGAGGGGGAACATCCACCCAGAGCTGCATGTGTACCAAGTACCAAGATTAATCCTGGATGAATATAACGTCTGCCTGAATCATCTTATTGTCAATTTTGCATGCTTGTTACAACGGAGTCAATGTTTGAGTGCATCATCCACAAGAGAAATGACAATTGAGCCGCAGCTATTTGATGAAGACGATGGTTACCGAAGAGGTTGCTCTACACTCGGCGACATTGCTGATCACGTCCGTATCACCAAGGAGTCGATTTCGGGTAGCTGATGGAAATAGGAAAATGTAGGATCTAGTGGAGACATTGGAAATGAAGATTGCCCTGAACTCATCCAAATGGGACTGTATCAGCAGCAGGAAACAGGTGGATACGATGAACTGAGACGAGTAGGAGAGTATGCAGTCGCATTTCAATGGCCTTGTAATTTGTGGTCATACATTACAGTTGAAAAAAATCACGATGGAGAGTTGCACCGGTTTCTAGGCTGGATGCTGTTCGAATTGCGAGTGCATACCGCCCAGTGTTCGAGGACGTAGTGCATGATTACCAGAATACCAGCCATCGAAGTATTAGTCCAAGAGCAGAGGTGTCTTTATCGGAGGACAAGACAATCCATATTGAATTCAAAGGACATTAGACCTGATCAAAGACAAAACAGCAGACGCCGATGGCTGTTGTTATAAAACATTCAGGATAAAGGACGATAGGCTCATCGGTACATCCCCAAGGTAGGCGTCTTCTTAATCTGCACGTACAGAAAGATTAATTAATTAATTGATGCCAATTTGAACTGCAAACGGCCATAAATTCAAGGGCGATAGGCAGAAGTGGAATAAAAACTAGAACATATGAAATTAATTCAAAATGAAATTTTATTATTAACATGAATGCTCCTTTCTCTATTAATCGTTGAGAATGATTTCTTCAGGTAAGGGATTATTTGAAAATTATTTGTTTATCATGTTTTGTTTGCTGTTTTGAAATGATTATCACAAGGGTAACCGCAGTGGTGGATATTTTGGTAAGAGAACGGAGAATGAGTAAAATCCGCAAAATTGGCTGTCGAATTGACAATTACAAAAAAGATTACATCTTCATCAAATCTTTATCTTCGACATGCCGATTTTCTAGTTAAATATTTGCCTATCCTTAGTTTTGTCTGTTCATCAGTCTATGAGATTTAATGTAGTATTCGTTTCTTGTTTTAATGGCAGTATGCGCAATTTTCTGTTCTTAAATTTCTCACTTTTTTTTATTTCAAGCGTACAGTAATCATTGACGCGCGCACTTTAACTATATGTACACCCACAATATTTCTTAATATTAAACAGCTAAGAATGATCGATCTTTTTACGACTCTGAGATTTTTGCCTTGGACAATACTTTTCCTTCATAGTTCATTGTTCTAAAACTGAAATTACGTACTTCAAGCATTAATACTGTTTTTATTTATCGATCTTAAAATGAGTATCTTCAATTAGTCGTTTTTTAATTGTTCATTATATTAATCAAGGCCTGTCCATGAAGAGCGACCATTACGGTCAGGAACGTGTTGATGGATGGTAAAGCTGTAGAACTTACTTGTGTCATATAATTGTTACAGAATAAACAATTGTCTAAATCAATGTTAAAGGGTGAATTTTTTTTTTTTCAATGTTCCAATCCACCATGAAAGTACGCGCAATCACGATAAACCGTTACTTAAGATCAACAATTGTGATCCTCAAGTGATCAAACGCGAAGAACACACTTCATTTTGTCTGAAGCATTCGCAAATAAATAAATCTTCAATAAATAAGCCAACTAGATTAGTCATCCCGGACTGGATTTCTCCGGAATTTTACAATGATGATTTGAAAGAAAGATTTCATGCCTTCTCACGACAAAAAAAAAACTAGATTCTTCCTCTCTTAATCCAAATAAAATACTCTTCTCACTCAAGAAGTCTATGAATGCATCGCCGACAATTCATCATACAATTACTCAATCCTTGATTTAACTACATATATACACTTTACATAAGAACATCCTGACAACTGTCTTTACATGGTAAGTCTACCGAAAGAGAATCTTTCAAGAATTCCTGAAGCATCAGCTTCATGATCCAGCCTTCTACTGGCCTCCAGTGACTTCAAGATCGTTGGGGTTGTGGCCTTAGTGTAATCCTCAGTCCTCTCTGGTGGAATAGTATCCATAGTAGTCATCGCAGTACTATAATCAAGAGCTAGAGTCGTTTGCTCATCATCGTTCTCCAGATCTTCACCACTGACCTCAGTAGAGGAATCCTCAGTGAAACTTGAAACCGATGGTTCTCCCGAGACGTGAAAGGGTGATTGTAAAGAACTATTCTCCTCAGAATCAGCAGTAGAAATCGTCGTCATCAAATCAAAACTCTTTTCGTGCATAAAATTTAACTCCTTCTCCAATATAGATTTTTCAATGTTCATCGAGCCAGTAACTCTTTTTTTCGTTAAAGCTGATAGATTTCGAGGATTCGACATCATAACTGTAGTAGACATTGACTGCCAAGAAATCGAGCTCTGATTGGAATAATCCGTCAAAACTGGAAGCGTTGTTCTAGTTGATCGATTAGGAATTTTCTTCTTTCCCTGGTTATTTCTCTTGGAAATCTGTTCTCTACGCTTACCACCTCCAATGATCGTAGGCATCGTAGCCCTCGCGTCTCCTGGAGCATCCGTCGAAGATTTCTTTCCACTCTTCTTCTTCGTGTCTTTCTTTTTCACTTGGTAATTATTCTCTTTCTTACTATCAATTTCTATCCGTGATTTTCGTTTCTTTGAAGGTGCATTGAGTGCCTGCCGTCGACAAAACTCATCACTAGCCGCATCTTCGCACGAACGTTTGGACGTTGGTGGGCCCTCACCAGGGACTTCTGCATTTGCACGATGTCCACTGTCTCTTTGATAAATCTCACAATGAGAACCAAGTGGCTCACCTTCTTCGCATCGTCTCTTTCTTTTTTTTCGTTTTTTCCGCTTACGACATCTGAATCTATCCCGACCGTCTTTCTCCTGCGGCTGGAGGGTGGGACATACTGTCTGCTGAAGATGTCGATGATGGTGGCTGTTGTGGTGATGACGTACACCGTGTTGGGCACCCAGCATACGACTATGTAGTGCCTCAACCCGATCTGGTGGGGCTACCTGAGTGAGGACTCTAGCATAAGCCGATAATCTACCTAAATTATGACCACGAGCTTGCACCCTTCTCGGCTGTCCATGACGATTCAAACCTAGGTAGAGGGTCTTCCGGGGTGTTGACCATCTGACTGAGCTATAGGTGTTGTAGTTGTGCTGCTCCAGGGTCTCGTTGAATAGACAGTCCTCTGTGTATTCGCGCTGCAACAAATAAAACTCCATTAAATGTTTTAAATTTTATTCGACTCAATGAGCTTAATTCGATGAATGAACAGCGAACTACGTGGAATAGTGGTAAAAGAAAGTGCTTATATAAAGACTTTTTCCGATTACATTTGATATGTAAACAACTGCTGGCGCCGGTACGAGTGGCAATAAAACCGGCTGATTGATGAAAAAATAACGAGTCACCATGTATGGACTTTATTTATGATCATGCAAGTTTCTCGGTTGCACAGCGGGAGTAGAACGTAATTATTTATTATCGTAATGGTGAGATAATCTAACTTTTTCACGTTTTGTATTCAATTCAATGGATCAACGTTTTTATCACCTTCCTTCCAATTAGTCGATTCTCTTCAATTTGTCGGGATTGCTCTCTGAATCGAAAGTTAATTTGCGATTATCAGACCAACGGAATAGCGACTTGATTGAAACGATAAATAAAAATTTTCCGAATGATATATTGTTGATTAAATGGAAACGGCAAAGAGATATGGCATTCTTGTAAGTCTTTGGAAAGAGAATTATTTTCCATGGCCAGAAAGAATTCTCGAAAGAAGCGCAAGAGAAGATGTTACAATCAGAATTATTCAAGAGGTAACCGTTCTCCAGACGCGATCCAATTAGTCCACTTTTTAGAAATACCAAGAGGTATTTCTTTTTCCATCGAAATGCCTTTCGTTAATGCGGACTATTGTCAATGCCCTGATCATTCAAGCGTTTTACATTTCACTGTGATATCGAGTGAATACACCAGCTGTGCAATGCAACTTCTAGCACCGACCATGTTACTTCCTAACGAGACTCTTCCTCTTTTACGGTTTAACTACAGATGCATGGGTATGTTCACACAGACGTCGGTATCCGTGGAATAAAGGGGCGTTATAATGTTTGTGTCAACTGTCAACTGTAAACTGTTTTTTTTATATTTATGCATTTGCTTTTAACAAACGTAGAACGTCGACATTGATACGTTCATTTTTTTTTCATTCCACAAATAAAATTGTTGCAGCTCAAATCACATGTATTCACATGATTATGTAGAATTAAAAAAAATGGAAATAGTTAATAGAATATTTAGGTTTAATTTAGCGAGTTTGTTAATTGTTATGCAGCAGATTTTGGTCGATTGGGTTATTGTTAAATCGTAAAAGGTCACGTCGATATTTTATAATCGAAGTAATTCTGTCATTCCGGACAATGTACAATCTAAGATTCGCCTGGGGGCATTGTAAATACCAATCTCATACAAATGATCACCGAAATTGTGCTCTAACGAGGGTATTCATCATTTTTCTTTCACCCGCGTATTTTTTTTTTCTTTGGAAATATACAGAGATAATTCAACAGTTGGAAAAAAAAGTCAAAGAGATTATAGTTTATAACTCTCATCGTGTTTCAGTTGCTGGCAAGTAAAATCGATGTCCCCACTATTCCGAGGCGTTGATTGTGACTCGGTCAGATTGTTCACAGGCAATAATTGGGGCGATGACCTTAAACTTGTTGTGCTGATTCTAAAGTCGGAATTTTTCAGTCGGAAAATACCACGGAAATATTCACCAGGTGCTAGTCATTTTTTTATTTCCAACTTATTGGAATAATTATTATCAGAATAAATGAATGAAAAATTTTACGCGAAAAATGTCGCATTATTTTTTTTTGGATTTTGATTTTTTGGGACTTTTACTTCAGCTTGAATGAGAATTAATAAATTTATAATTCTGACGACACGCTATTGATTCAGAAATAATGAAAGGTGTTTTCTTAATACAAAAATAGACGAATCATTAAAAAAAAATTGCACTTCGTTAGGAGTAATCCCGGATGGTTAAAAGACATCGCAGATGTATTAGACACACGTTGGAGACCGGATAGGCCAATTACGGGGTCCACGTAAACCATGTATCGTTGAGCTGATGTGTTTTTTTATATGTCCCTCCATCTCCGTCAAAGTTAGCGAGAATTGTCAAACGAGCATTGAACATTCATTACGGGAATTAACGGTATTGAAGATTACTGACTTAACATCTGATTTATTAAACTTATTTTCTAGTGTTCTTTCGTCTTCCTGGAATACAGCAACGGGCAGAACTCTCGATTTTTTTATAAAATTAAATAATGAAGCCTCTCTTTTAAAAAATTTATGGGTTCCTGTTGAATTGTGAGTTTTGCGTATAGTTCCTGTCATAACTCCTAATCGAATTAGTGTAATGAATAGCAGAATTAGTGGACACACGGGTGGTCGAAACATTGAGGCGAGGTATTGCCAAGCCGGGGGTTTTAATAACCATAAATATTCATTCGAAATTATTCGCGAGGTGCATTCGTATGTGTACACTTGAGAATTTATCTTTGAGTTTTAACGAGTGCCTCCCCCCCTTCCCTCCAACTCTTCGTTATTTCCCTGTGGGTTTTTAACATTAAAATTATATAATAATAATTATAAAATTGAGATTGTTAGATTTTTTCATATTTTCTCGAAAATAAAAAATTCTCGAAATTCTCGAGATAAATTCGTATAATTTGATACGGATTTATTGGAGACTCATTCTCTGATTGTATTCGGTTTACCTACATGCAAGTACCAAGCGATCGTTTTATCAATCCTTTAATCTTCAAAGGTGAAAGTGGAAATTATTTTTAGTTACGTGCGTGCAATTTACACTTTGACGAAGAGAATAACAGATAGCCACCCGCATTGAGGATCTCCTGTTACTCTACCTGCGTGTCATAGAAAGATCATCTATTCTAATAATTTTTACGCGTTTGAATTTCCATGTTTGTCACGTAATCTGCACGTGATTTTTATTTTTACCCTATCCCATTTCGTCTCCTCCAGAGTTACAGAACCATGGAATGAAAGGAACCTCAGACACTCTTCTCAGAAGAATTATTTCAAAGTATCTTCGAGACGCCCACCGTGACACCTTCGACCACGACTCGCCTTTCTCTCCCTTACACTTTTATCCTCTCATTTTTTATCCAGCATCTCCAAAACAAACTGCGGGGATGTTACCCAGCAGTGAAGATCATACATCAAAATATTTGTGCATACAC